GGGGGCGGCCCGGGCTCGGGCGCGCGCAGCGGGCGCGGAGCACGGCAGAGGGGTCCGCGTGCGGGCCGGCTTTGCTGCGGGAGCTTCCCGGCCCGCGCAGTGGTCGGGGCTTGCACCTGGTGAGGGCCAGGCGAGAGCCTTTGCGAAGGGCGCTGTGGATGGGGCATTTCCATGCCGGGGAACCGTGCGGTGGCCGCCCTGCCTCGGTCCCCCGGAGGGACTCGGACCCACAGAGCTCCGGGAGCAGGGGCAGGTGGGGCGGGGGCAGCCCCGCTCCCGTGAGGGGGGCTGCCGTCTGCGGGGAGGAGGAAGTGGCCGGTGCCTTTTCTCAGCAGTTGGTGCTGAGGAAATTGCATCAATCCGCGCCCTGCGAGCCCCTCCAGGGCGGGCCATGGCGTCTGCTCTGAGGCGGCGGCCAGGGCAAACTGGGCACGGGCAGTGCCTGCCCTTGGTCTGACCCAGGCCCTGGGCGCACCTCCTGGAAGCTGCAGCTCTGGCGGCCAAGTGCGATGTGGCTGTCAGTCCAGCGCAGGGGTCCCTGCTCTTCTACCAGAGCAGTCCCAGCAGTTCAGTGAAGGTTTCCCGAGTTCCTGCTGTGCTCTGTGTTGTTCCTGGGTTGTGGTCAGAGCTGAGAACAGGCTAGGAAAGCGTGCTGAAGCAGACATATAAAATGGGGTGGCTAGGAAGGGAGCTGGTCGTCAGGGAAGGCTTCTTGGAGGAGGTGTTAACTTCAGCTATGGCGAGATCTGGGGACGGCAAGCGGAGAAGGGCAGGAACCGGTGGGCGGAGCATGAGCCAGCAGGAGCGGAGGGTTGTAAGGAGCAAAGAGGAGTTGAGGGTCCTGGGGACATGGTGACAGCGGTCACTGAGTACAGACGACAGAATGCGCTACTGTCCATCTCTCCCGCCTGCAGGTTAAAGCCCCGATGGTCTAGCCAGGTGTGGTGGTGCAGGCCTGTAGTCCCAGGTCTTGGGAGAAAACCAGCCTGGGCAACATAGCAAGACCTCATTCCAAAAAACAAAATGAAACAAAACATTGAGAAGCCTAAGGGCACCTTGGTCTTCTTTTTCTACTCCTTTCTCCTGCTGTCCTCTGCTCAATGGGTCCCAGGGCAGGGAAGGGTCTGTTCCCTCCCTGGCACAGGCCCTCTCAACTGCATGATGGCACAGGATCCCTTCCCACAGGACACACCCTAGGCCCGCTAGTGTGGCCTCCGTCTGCACACCCTGGACCCCACCTGCTGCCTCTGAGGCACTGCTCCTGCTGGCCCTCCGCCTTCCTTGTTGTGGACTGTTGAGCCATACCAGGTGTTCTGGCCCAGAGTAAAGGTCAGGTGGTCCTTCTGTGGACCCCTCCCTGAAGGAAAGTTGTCTCTCCTTCATGAGACCCCTGGGCTTTTCCCACAGGTCTTGCCTCCGCATGTCACTTTGCAGGCAACAGTTTAGCTTTGCTTAGTACTGTCGGCCCAGCGCGGCGCCCTGCACAAAGGAGCTTTTGGTGATGCTCAACTTTGTTAACTTGAGCTAAGAAACAGAAAAAGCAAACAGTGTGAGGGGTCAGAAAATGGTCAGGTCTCTCCCTCCCCCCGCCACACACACTCACACACACTCACGCGCATACTCACTTTGCTTGCTCTCATCCACACATGCTCCTTGTCAGGCATCTGTTCACAAAATGGCATCCACCCCCTAGATCAGCGGTGGCAAACCTATGGCACTCCTGCTGTAGCGGGCTATTTGTTATTGAAAGCTCTAAAAAGTTCGCCATCACTGCCCTACATTAACAGCTTTTCCTCCTTGGGTTAGTTGTAGCTCTCACCGTCCCTCTACTGGACCTGTTTCTGCCTGTTTTGAGCAGGGGCTGCACTTGGCAGTCACAGGAAGGTCTCTGGGGACAATGCTGGGAGGCAGAAAGGATTTGCTGCCCCAGTTTCCTGTCATTCTTACTTCTCCCCTCCAGGTGGAGACCATAAGAGGAAGCTGTGAATCAGTTCACAGGGCTCCCTTGGACTGCAGAAGCACACCAGTCCTGTGGTCATACTGGCTATGAGCTCAAGCACTGGTTTGGGCAGGGAGGGGGCTATCTGCCCACCCCTCCTGCCTCAGCTGCCCATCATCAGTATGCCCATAGTCTAACCTCACACTGACATCTTCCTTCCTACTGGGTGCTTCAGCCCATACATTGGTCAGTTTTCTAGATGCTGGGACAAAATAACTAACATCTGCCATGATAAGGAGGAGAAGCTTATTTTGGCTTACTGGTTCAGAGGGTTCAGTCAATGGTCAGCTGGTTCCAAGGCAGGAATATCATGGCAGAAGGGCATGGTGGAGCAAGACTGCTCACTTCCTAAAGACTGGAAAGCAGAGCCCAGGGGAAGAACACCAGAGAGGAAGGGGCAGGGGACCAGATATAAACTCCCAGATCACACCGCGTGACCCTCCCATACACATCCAGAAGTGTACTTTACTAATCCCCTGGTGGCTCCCAAGCCCACCACATTGATAGTCACAGCCCAGTGTCATGGCCTTGGCTCAATCAGTTTCTTCCTTCATCAGCTCATCCCTTGAGCAGGGGCCTGAAGCATCCTTTGTTGTGCACTACCAGAAACCTCCTAGATTTGTTTCTCACTTGCATACTGACACAGCCATCCTCTTTTGATCCATTATCCATCACTTGGTCAACCCATCCATCCATTTACCCATTATCCATCCATCCAGCATCCATCATTGTCAGCCTAGACATTCGTCGTCTATCTAGACACTATTTATCCATTGCCCATCCATCCATTTGCCTTGATCTTTCACCTATCCATCCATCCATGTATCCATTCATCCTGCTATCATTCAGTCCCAGGGGCAAATGTGAAGGTCACCCAGAAGTCTCAGGAGCAGGCTTCTTAGTGGACGGGAGCTGGCTGGGGACCTGACTGTGAGGCTGCAGTGTATTTGGAGCTGGACCAGAGCTATTACAGAGGGTGGAGGGGTCTCAATGGTGCTTTGAGCAGCTCTAAGGGGGTGGGAAGAAGTTCTGGTGCAGCAGGCCACTGGAGTGGGCTGGGTCACCTCCATCTGGAGTGGGGCCGAGGCACCTCTGAACCCAAAGCCCTGTCAGTGCTGGAGGTGTGACAGGAGAGCACCTGTGTGGGATGGGAGGTGACCTCGTGGCCGGTAGAGCTCAGATCACGTGGAGATAAGTCCCTCCATGTACACCGGGGCCTCCTTGTGCCATCCCAGGACCTGCAGTGCTGCCTGCCACAGAGGTGCAGAACACACTGTGTCTTCCCAGAAGGCATGTGAATCTTGCGGGTGCCCCGGAGCGCAGTCTGAGGGCAGGGAGGTGGCAGCTTCCGTGGTTAGACCTGTCAGCTGCCAGGGGGAACAAGTCAGGTAGGTAGGAAGGTAGAGGCAGTGGGCAGGGCATCTTAGAAGCAGGGTAGGGTGGGGCCGAGGCACCTCTGACATTTCATCTGTGCACAGGACACAGGTAGGCAGAAGAGGAGATGAGGACCTGGGCTCTGGTCTCTGAAAGTCACAGGGATGTGGCCAGAGAAGCCAGAGTGCTATCAGTAAACTTCACTGATTCTCAGTGCCTGAGCTATGGCAGAGCAAGATTATGCCTGAGCTGTGCAGTACTGGGGACAGATGCATCAATGTCAGGAAATTCCAGGCACCGTTGTGTTTGTTTTGCTAAGTGACCACCTCCCTGTTCTGGTCCTTGCAGTTCCTGGACAATTGTAGGAGTTGCTGCCCTCATTCTGCTCCTGGTAGCCCTGTTGGCTCGAGTTCTTGTCAAAAGAAAGCCACCTCGGGATCCACTGTTCTACGGTAGGTCTCTTCGGGGGAAACTGTGTGTGTCTACTCCGTAACAAGGAACTTGCCCTCCGTTCTGTTTTCCTTCTTGGTGGTGAATAGTCTGCGTGAAAGAGAGAGGATGTCTGAGGCAATGTAGTCCTTGCCTCTAAGCCAGCGATGACAAACCTATGTGGCACGTATGACACCTGGTGCTCCGTTCGTATCACTGAAAGCTCTAAAAGGTTCACCGTCACTGTCTCTCCCAGGTCATGGACCCCACTTCCTGGGGATCGTGGTGGAGGGGCACTGCCAGGGCAGGCAGGCCTCTGCCTTCACCCCTTGATCCGCAGCTGCCCTTACCTCTGCCTCCTTCTGGGCCTCCTGCCCTCAGCCTGGAACGCGCAGTCCCCTCCACCTGGGGCGGAACAGCAGCCTGCACATTTGTACAGAGAGGGAAATAATTACGCTTAGCATGAGGGGTAGGCACAGACATTAAATAAGGTGGTGTTTGTAAAGTACTTCGGTCAGGTCCTGGTAAATACACATATGTGTTAAATAAATAAAAGCCCCATGACTGAGCACCTACAGTGTGCCTGGCAAGGCACTGAGCACCTTAGCAATTTTATTTTATTTAATTGTCACAACAGACGGAGACACTGGCTGAGATGCTAAGAGCCATGGTCAGGTCACACAGCTGGCGAGAATGGCACAGACCCGGAGCCCAGGCCTCCACCATGTGTGCTTTGGGCAGAGTAGCTACTGGGCTCTGAGTGCTTCCTGTGCTGGCGCTCTGCTGGGCATTTTATTAATTTAGTTTCTGCTCCAGCAATGCTGATGTCAGACACGCCCCCAGCCTGCACAGGCTCAGAGGTTTATTTTTCTTGCTCACAGGTGTAGGGGAGGGCTGAGCCGCTCTGCTGCAGGCCGAGGGTGGCTGTGGAACTGTCCACTTGGCTTCTTGCTCTTGGGCTCTCATGGGGATACAGCGCACCAAAGCGTCAGTGGGAAGAAAGATGTGTCTCTCATGGCTTTCGCTAGCAGCTGGCCACTGTCACTTCCACCCACACTTTTTCCCCAGTACTGGGGATGGAACCCAGGGCCTTTGCACTGAGAGCTACCCCCAGTCCTTGTTTATTTTTATTTTGAGACAGGGTCTCACTAAGTCATTAAATTGCCCAGATTGGACTGAAAGACCCCCCAGAGTGCTTGGATCACAGATTTCCACCTACATTCTGCTGGCCAGCGTGAGCCCTGGGGCCATCCCCTTATTAGAGGCGCAGGGAGCCTTCGCTGCCAGAGCAGGCCCTGCGGTGGCAGAGAAGGCTTGGAGACCTTAGTTTCTCTCAGTTTACATATAAAAAACTCTGGAACTTAGAGAACTTCTGTAACTTGCCCCGGGTTGCACGGTTGGTCCGGTAGAAGAGCTAGGCCTGTCTGACCCAGAGCCCTTGTCCTTTTTCTTGCCCCATTCCCCTTGCTCAGCGGCCCCAGCCTACCTTCCTGGACTGGCTTCCTGCTGCTGTCTGTCCTGCCTCTCCAGTCTGGCCCCAAGCAGACCACACTTGACTCGCTGAGGTCCTTCTGCTCCTCCAGGTGGCTGCTTGCCGGCACCCTCCACCCTCTGTCCTGGCTCTGTTCTAGCTTCGAACACATTGTAGCCTCACAGTCAGGTCGCCAGCCAGCTCCTGCCCACTAGGAAGCAGAGCCAGTGTCTGAGCCCACTGTTGGCATCTCATGGCTGAGACATGTGCTGACCCCGCCCCTTACCCAGGATACAGGCGAGGGGTGGCCACCTGGGAAGCCTCTGAGGAGTGAGTGTCCAACAGGGACACCGTGTTGAGAACTGGACTGTGGGCCTTCATGGAGGCAGGGAGGGTACGGGCTGTGGGGCAGGGCACCTGTGGTCTTCCATCCTTCAGGCAGATGTGGGGACGCTGGACTGTGGCCACACACTCTGCTCCAGGCCAGCTTCCCTTCCCTGTGCATCACCCTCCCTGCTCTCCTTTTGCACAGCTTTTCCTGTATCCACCAGCAGACCTTTCTCCTCACCCACTCCTGATCTAAGACACCAGTTTGTTCCAACTTGAAAATGCAACTTTCTTGAGGACTCCCCTGGGCTGAGTTTGGTCTCCCGCTGTTTAAAAGGTGCTATTCCTTAGCTAGTTGTTTCGAGTAATTGTAAGCCTGTTTAGGAGAGTCTCAACTCCGAGACATTTCTCTAAGACATGTCAGTGTTCCTTCCCTCATAGTTGATTGTACCATTGTACATGTATTCAGTTCTTGGAACCACTGGTGGTTTTTCTTAAATCCACTGTCATTTGCACACTAATTACAGTGGTACCTCAGTTCACGAACTTAATTTGTTCCACGATTTTGGAAAAGATGGCCATGTTTGTTTGGGAAAGATGGCCAGGGTAGTATTTGTCACCCAATGTAGAGTTTGCAAACAAAAACAAAATTTTGCCAAATGCAAAATTTACAAACAAAAGCATCCATGAAACCAAGGCATCACTGTACCTGCCTGTCTGTGGGGCCAGCAGGATGGACACACTGTGAGTTGGCCTGTGTGGTCATCACCAAGGTGAATCATCCACATCCTTATTATTATTTTGCAGTCCTGGGGATGGAACTCAGGTGCATTCTGCTGCTGAGCTACATCCCCATTCCTTTTTATTTTTACTTTGTGGAGAGAGCATCTCACTGAGTTGCCTAGCCTTGGTTCAAATTTGGTGATCCCCCTGCCTCAGCCTCCCGGAGTCCTGGGATTACAGTTGTACACCACCACCTTTGGATTTATGTAGTCTTTCTTTTAAAGCTGGTGGTCACTGTGTGCTTCTTTAGCTGCTTGGTGACTGGCTTTATTCCTGCTACCCAGGTGGGATGTGGATTTGGCTCTGGGCTTGAAGGAGTGGAGGGTACAGAGGGTGGCCTGCTGGGACAGTCAGCAGTGACTGTGTCGTCCTCCATCCCTGTGACTTGTGTTCCCTCAGTGAGAGCTGTTGGGCAGGGATAGGGAGACCCAGGAGGACAGGCAGAGACCTGGCTGGAAGTGCAGGAGGTATGGCTTGCTAGTCTGTGCTGACAGCGTCCACAGTATCAGAAGCATCTCATTCTCTCTTTGTCGAGTGCCAGCTCTTCAGTGCCTCCTGTGGGCTGCGTTCTAAACTGCGGCCTTCTCTGCTCCAGTGTATGCGGTCTTTGGATTTACCAGCGTGGTGAACCTCATCATAGGGCTAGAGCAAGATGGCGTCATCGATGGCTTCATGACCCACTACCTGAGAGAGGTACGGTGCTGCCTGGGGGTGGCCGTCAGCCCTCTGCTCCACGAGCAGGTTTGTTTCCCCGTGTAAGCTCAGACTGGTTACTAGTGGAGGTGAAGCCCCAAGGTGAGGTGCAGTGGTGAGAAGCAAATCCGCTCTCATGAGTCCCACCTCACTCCTGTCTCACCTTGTGGCCCATCTTTCCTTTTAAATGCGGAACTCTCAGTGAATTTAGTATTTGTGTATCTGCTAATATATTGCAATCTCTGAAATCCCAAATTACTCTTAAATTTGTGAGATACCAAACATAGAGGTAATTAAACTATTTGATTATGATGATGAACTCCCAACCACATCGTGGCACTGGCGAGAACTAGTCTTGTTTTCTTATTTTATGATGGGCGGAATCCAGCCACAGAAAGTGAAGTGACTTACTCATGGTCACACAGGAAATAAGGAACAGAGCTGAAAATGTAGTTTTCATCTGCATCTCAGATAGTGGGAGTTTGGATGCCATCCTGTACCTGAGGGGAAATGTTAAATCCGGGAAGGAGATACAGCTCTGGTGGGATGGGCTTGTGGGGAAGGGTCAGTGTTTTGAGCTAGGACACAAGGAAGAGGCTTCTGCAGGGTCAGCCTGGTGTGACAGTGGTTGGACAGAGGCAGCACCTGACGATATAAGGGTGAACTTGAGAGAGCCCAGGTGGTTGTAGGACTTGGGGACATGCTGGGGATGAGTGCAGGGGTCAGGCCCGAGATGACTTCCTGACTCCTGTGTTGGAGTTTGGAAGAAAGGTGGTGTTACTCCATCAGAGAGGCAAGCGAGAAGGACTTCAGTTCTGCAGACATTTGCTGAAGGAGACTGTGGCATTGCGGGACCTGCTTCCTGCCTTCCATGTGGGGACCCAGCCCTGTCTTAGGTGCCGGGACAGAGGCTCCCTGTAGGCACAGCACAGTGAACTCTGGTGACGACTGGGGAAGGCCTTGTAGACCTTGGGACCCTGCAATGGCACTGTAAATGTGGCCACAGGAGATGGTGGCAGCTGGTTTTGGCCAGACCATGGATGTGGAAGGCATTCTGAACAGAAGGGGCAGCTTGAGTAAGTGGCTCAGGGAGGAGAATGCTGTGTCTGCCGGGCACAGGTCTACAGAGATGATGCTCAGTTCATTTGGGGACACGTGGAGTTTCAGGTGCTCGAGGGACATCCTGGCACATGTCACAGCTGGCAGGGCTTTGCAGGTCTTGAACAGTCCTGGCAGGGAGGTTTTTTGGTCCACAGGACTACGGCTGGTACCAGCAATCTGAGATGCCAGAGGAGATGATGGAGAGTGAAGAGGCTGAAGCTAGAACTCTGGAGACTGGAACCAGGAGTGGGCACCAGGGAGTCTGAAGTAGACATAGGGGGGTAGGCAAGGAGGCAGAAGGGAAAGTGAGGGCATTGTGCCCAAGGAGGGAGGCTCCAGGGAGGAGGGCAGCAGGCACTGAGGCAGATGGAAAACAGGAAGAGGAATGGGGTGTAATAGTAGCAAGCTTGGCAAGGCCAGGCTGGGGACCCAGTAACTATCTAGAAGAATGAGGCTTGGTCTTTCCGGCAGTGACAAGCTTTGGAGGTGTTAGAGCAGGAGTGGCATGGCCAGAGTCAGGCCGTGTGAATATTTATCTGGCAGCAGGAGTGTCGCGATGGGAAGGAGAAGGGCAGGGAGACCACTGGGAATGTAACAGTGGTCCAGTGTGGGACTCTGAGGTTTGATCTAGGCCATGCTAAAGAGGGAGGTTTTTATCATAGAGATAAAATTGACAGGATTTGCCAAGACTGTATAAGAAAGTAAGGACTAAAATAGCAACTCAGTGGCTTCCCCAGGGTAACTTGAGTGGCACTGCCATCCAAATAGAGAGGCAGGTTGGTTGAGGGAGAAGCTGATGAGTTAATGATCAAGTGCACTTGAAGGGCCCAAGAACCTCCAGTTAAAGGCACCATCAGCCACTGGAGAGCCCAGTGCTGGCCGAGCGCCCAGCTGTGTGGCACAGATGACCAGAGCATGCAATCAGATGGCATCATCCAGGCAGAGCATGTCAGGGAGAAAGAGTGTGGGCCCTGCATGGACATAGAAGTACAGTTCTGGTGGTTCCCCTTCTTCTGTGATTTTAATGCAATTTGACTTATAGAGCAGTGCTTGCCCCAGGGGAGCAGGGTGCTTCTGAGAATGCCTCACTTGGCTGGCTGATCATTGGGCTGGTTGATCTGCACTCTTCCTTGTTGAAGAAGGGGTGTATGGCGAGGGGGACATGCAGGACAAGCCAGGTGAGCATGCCCGGGAGAAAGAGGAGAGGAAGGCCAAGCGGAGGCAGGGTAACACCAACGACTCATGCACTCCGGACAGCGATTTTCTAACAGCCCCCTGGAAACCTGACCGCTTGGAAAAGGAAAATGTAGTTCATCAAATAATCTGTGTTCATAAATTCATGAAGTTAAACATTTCTCAGAAGTGTCGCTTTCCTTGGGGTTTTGCTATGTGACTTTAGGCAAATCTTGAAACCTTCTGGGGCCTCTGTTTCCTTGTTTTGTCACGTCTACCCCAGAGGGCTGTTGGGAAGCCTGGTGAAGGGTCTGTGGGAATCTCTGAGTCCAGTGCCACGTGGGAATCTCTGAAGGGCATGAGCGCCTCCCTGTGCCAGCCTAGCAAGCCCTCTATGCGGGGTCAGCATGCGGGGTTAAGGCCAGCCAGTGAGCAGGGTCTTCCCTGGCCACCCCTCCGGCTAAGGCCAAGCACCTCTATTCGCAAGTGTGGCATGGTGCCCGTGAGTTGGCCCTCCAGCAAGAATCACCCATACTGCTGTCTTTGTGTCACTGTACGATCCTATGTGTTGATCTGTCACAGGCCAACTGGATAGGCATTCTCTGATTTGGTCCCCATGGCAGACCCTGGTTTTGGCAGCTTCTGGGTAAAATTCTCTTTGCACTTTCCTAATAGTTGAGTTGGAGTGGGTTCATCCGAGCAGACTAACACCAACTAGTTCTGCTGTTTTATTCTATTTGGAGTACAGATCTGGTGTTTTGCACTTAAATGTTTATATGTAAAGTAGACTTCTTTTTTAATGCTTTCCTTAGGGTGAGCCCTATCTGAACACTGCCTACGGGCACATGATCTGCTACTGGGATGGCTCTGCTCATTATCTGATGTACCTGGTGATGGTGGCGGCCATAGCGTGGGAGTAAGTCGGTTCACCTGCTCTGTGTGCCTTTGCTATCGATAAATGAGTATGTAAGGAAGACCTGTGTACAGAAGAAAGCAGGTATGGTGGGAGAATGGAAGTGCCAGTGTTTCCTATTGTGTTTCTTTGAAGAACAGGCGTTTCATTTGCAGGAAATAACGCCTCACACATTCTGAATCAAAACTTCAACTACCTCATTTCAGTTCAAAGCTTGACTGATGCCCAGTTCAGATGCAGCCTCACTCTTGGGTGCTTGCACCCACCCCCCCTGCCCTATTCCTTCTCACCTCTGTGTCTGGTTCCTCTGGAAATACGTACGTCCGCAGGATTAAAGGAAGAGGGGAAGTCTTATGGGACAGCTGCTGTTTTCTGGATATTAGGACTCTCCGTCATGAAATGTTAGCTGGGTTTTATGGGCACTCTGGAGACCCCTCTGGCAGGAATTTTGCATGGCACCTGTCCCTGAGTGAGCAATGTTCTCTGGCTGGATTTGTGACTCTTGCGCTCTTGGTGGTCTGCTCACAGTGTCTTACTCTATCCTAGAAGGTGCACTCTGAGGGAGGGGAATAGCTCAAGTTCAGCTACATGCCCAGGCCTCCACTTGGTTCCAGGGTACAGTCACACATTTGTGTCCCATGCGAGGCTTACACACAGCTTCATTTGCCTTTCCCCCTTTCTGCTTATCATAGAACCAAGGACAGCTCTAGCTAGTGCTTGTCTGTCTTCCTGCTGGCAATCCATGTCATTGTGACCGTCTGTGTGGCATCAGCCTCCCTGGCTTGGGGGCTGGGATGGAGCAGGAAGCACAGTGTTCTCTATGTCTGTTTTCTCTTATAAAATCTCCTTTTGAATTACTCAGACCTCTTATTTAGCATGGAGTTGAGTTACTGGGTTATAAGTGGAAGCAACATTCTGTCAGCATGGAAGTTGGGGTAAATGTTTAGCAGCTGCTGCAGAACATGGGGTATGTATCAGGTATTATCTCCACCTCTGATGCTTTGGCCAAATTGTTGGCCAAAGTCCATTTTTTTTTTTTTTTTTTTTTTTTTTCCTTCCAGTACCAGGAATCGAACTCACGACCTTGTGCTTGCCAGGCAGGCGCTTTGCCACTAAGCTAAATCCCCAGCCCCTCCAAAGTCCATTTTATATGCTACCATTGGACTGGGGATGTGGCTCAGTGGTAGAGCTTTTGCCTTGCATGCACAAGGCCCTGAGTCTGATCCCCAGCACCACACACACACACACACACACACACACACACACATATGCACACACATACTGGGTTATATGCTATTGTCATACTTACAATAAATCAGAGTATTGGACCCAGTGTCCTTCTTTAAACCTTTCTCTACCCTTTCATGCTTTGAGTTTCATACATAGTTGAGAAATGTAGGAGTCTGTGGCCAGGATGATCATGTTATAGTTTAGCTGTAGGTCAGTGTAGCAAGTATGAGTTCCTATTCAAAAAGAGACAAAGAAGTTTCTGTGGAATATCATGTGAGGAAATGAGGTTTGATCACCAAACTTCCTCGATTTATTGCTCTTTTTAAAAATGTTTCAATTCATGTAATTTACTAATTAGAATAAAAAATAACATTGAGGATCTTTTGCTGATAGTATTCTAAGACAAGTGTACTAAGTCAAGATTTTTTTTATTCCAGAGAGAGTTACAGAACCATTGGCCTGTACTGGGTTGGATCTATTATTATGAGCATTGTTGTTTTTGTGCCTGGAAATATTGTAGGTAAGAAAATTTATTCTAAAATTCACTTTCCTTTTCTGTAATAATGGGTATTTTCTTAAATAAAGAAGTTTGCTTTGGTTATAGTTTAACCAAGAGATTCTAAGCTTATAAAAACCCACTTTGCAAATAAATCATTCCTATTCTCCTCCATAATCTCGCCTCCTAAGTGCTTTTGAACAATCATCAATAATGTGCATAAATAATTCATCAAGTATCAGTGATTCCTAACTCTTTGGAAGGATCTAGACAGCTGATGATGGGATTTGTGACTACATTTAGTGGCAGATATTTCTTACAACGCTTTATTACATATTACTCCTGACATGCTATGAGAATTTGGTAAATGTACTTGGAAATTAAGACTCTTGAAGCCTAAAGTAAGAGATTATTTATGTATGCAAGAAATTAGGGTATTACATATATTTTTAATACTGTATATAGGACATGCCTGTTGATAAACATCTAGCTGTTTTAAATGACCTTTGTTTTTCTTCATGTCATTAAAATATTATCTGGTCTTTCACAAAATTTTATAATTTGAGATCGGGAGGTATCCTAAATATTATTTATGTTCAGATATGCTTTGGGTAAACCTCTGACTTTTTCTCTCTTTTCCTCTTTTAAACAGGGAAGTATGGAGCACGAATATGTCCTGCTTTTTTCTTAAGCATACCTTATACTTGTCTTCCTGTCTGGGCAGGTTTCAGAATCTATAATCAGCCATCAGAAAATTATAATTATCCTTCCAAGGTGATTTTTCCTAAGTTTAAATGTAACCTGTTTCCAACTTCACAGGGCTCACATATGTGCCTGGGCCAGTGAACTAACTGTGCCTCCGAGGACTGGAGCATCGAGGGCACTCGGCGTGCTTGGGAGCTTGTGTGGTGTTTATTGACATCTTAGTTAATGTGGTCAAGGTGGTCTGCTTCTGCCTGAATGTCTGATTTCATGGGCCAAGCCGTACTTCTGGCAACTCCCGTGCCAATGATCACAGTGGCTCCTAGCATCATGTTTGTTTTAGTGTGAGAAGTCCAGATTGTATGGTTTGTCTAGGGTTGCAGATGAGCTGGATTTTGAGCATCTGAGCACCTCTTTAAGTAGTATGTATACATTTATTGCTCCTCTGAGAGGAAGCTGGAGAGCTACTGCTGTTCAGTGTAGTCCACATAGCTGTAAGGTCTGATTCGCAAGAGAGCCAGGCACCTGGAGACGGGCTGCGGACCTCGTCTGTGACACCTCCCTCCAACCCCTACCAAGGTGGTCAAGGTGAAACAACCCCGGCCTGGCAGGTACTCTGTTAAAATCTTCATTTCTAAGCTGGTGACATCTTTCTAAGTTTCTCTTCCGCTTGTGGATATTAAATCCTTAGGCAAAACCTTTTAAGCGAAATTGACATGAAAATGTAAACTCCTAAATAATCAGAACATGGCATTTCATTTTACAAAATATTTATAATAGAATTCATTTAAATTCTTTTTTTTGGTATTAGGGATTGAACCTAGGGCCTCTTCCATGCTATATATCCATTCTACCCCTGAGCCAGCCCTCATCCACTTTAATGTCCACAGACTTCATTTGTAGACCTTTAGACACCCGCTATGTAAAATCAGGCTGGCACACTGGTGACTAGTATGCTTTTTCATTCCTTTGAAGAATGAAGTTGTTGTTAAATTAAAAAAAGCAAACAGTAGGGCTGCCTTCACCCTAGCTCCTCTGTTTCCAAATGCTCCAAGTCCATGTGCCCAAGAATGTTCATGTCATGACACACAGAACCATTTGTTAGTATTTTAATAGTGAAACATAGTGACAGGACAGTGACACTGCCACACAGAGCTGACAGGAACACAAGTTCAGAACTGCCCTGCAAAGCAATTTAGCAGTGTTGTCAGCCTTGCAAAATTTAACCTTTCAGGGGCTGGGGATTTAGCTCAGTGGCACAGCGCCTGCCTGGCAAGTGCAAGGTTGGGAGTTCGATTCCTGGTACTGGAAAAAAACAAACAAACAAAATTTAACCTTTCAAAGTAATAATTCCATATCTAGGGCCCGAGTGGAGAGATGCTATCAGAGATTTATGGACAAAGCTTCTTCCTATACACTGAATACTGACTGTGAAAAAGGCCTAAATCTTCACAGTGAGAGAACAGCAAAAATGTGGTGCTTCCATACAGTATGAGGTTTTAGAATTTTTAATAATGTTGCACAGTGCTTATTGTATAGGTAATTGTTGAGTGACTAAAGAATGCAAAATGTTTATTTCTAATTTTGTAGAAAACATTATACATATATATGTGTATGTATATATGTAAAAATATACACTACTGGAAAAGTATATCACCTATTAATAGTGATATGGCAGGACTATGGTGTACTTTTAAAGCATCCTTATTTTTCAGATGAGTTCATCTTACCTTTATAATCATGAAAATGTCGGCTGGGGATACAGCTCTGTAGCACAGTGCCTGCTTTGCAAGCACAAGGTCTTGAGTTCAATTCCCAGTACCAAAAAAAAAAAGGATAATCATGAAAGTGTTATTTTAAGAGAGAAATGTGGACTCAGAGCTAGAAGTGCCCTTCAGGATCGCCTGGTCCAATCTCAGCATTTCACTAAAGAGGAAACCAGGTCTTCAAGGGGCAAATGACTGTCCTGAAAGTCCCGTGGTTTAGGGTATGAATTGTGAATCTTCAATATCCTCTCCTCATCCATCATCACAGCATTCAGTGTGTCAGTACGTTTCAGATTCTCTTTGGCACTTTGAACTTGCTCTTTAGATACAAACTCTATTTTAGGTTATCCAAGAAGCTCAAGCAAAAGACCTGCTGAGAAGACCATTTGATTTAATGCTAGTCATGTGTCTCCTACTGGCAACTGGATTTTGCCTGTTTAGAGGCTTGGTAAGCATAATAGATCAAAATAACGTTAACCGGCTGTGGTGATGTGTGCCTGTAGCTGTAGCTATTTAGGATGCTGAGGCAGGGGTATCCCTTGAGTTTAGGAGTTCAAAACCAGCCTGGGAAACAGAAAACAAACAAAAATACCATTATCATACTATTAAGGCTTCCAAATGGACAAAACATGGAAATCGGTTTTTGTTTTTTCCATACTGCTCAGCAAGCTAACAAAATATCCCTTCCATTAGAGACTAGAGCGTTGGACCTCTTCCTGACGCTCTCCTGTCTCAACCCTCTATCCCCAAGGGGTAGCTTATTCTGGGTTGTTTCATATCACTTCCCTCAAGTCCTTGGATCAAGCTCTATTCAGAAATATCGTCCCTTATTTTGGGATATCTGGAAAAAAGCTGTTAGGATTTCCTACTTACGTTTCTGATTTAAACATAAAGATTATTGGCCCAGGTGATACCGTAAGACCCCATAAGACCCCAGTACAGCTGTGGCACAGAACACCAGTGTGTTCCCAGAGCGTAGGGGCGATGAGATCCAGAAAGAGGCACCAACCAGCCAATATACGTGTGTGCAGGGCCCTGCGAGTTTCTCAGTGGTAGGAGCAGTGCAGAGTAGATTAAGCTGAGTTTTGGAGTCTTTGTACTGATGCAGCTGATACACATTAAGGGAACCTGGGCATTGCATTTTTTTTTTTCTATGTTCTCTTTATCATTCTCATAGTGTAAAGGATAAGAAAGATGCCTCTACGCTTTGGAGTTGGATTCCTAGCCATTTATTAGTGTGTGGCGTTGGAAAGATTAATTTCTTGACCCATGCTTTTATCCTCTCTAAAATACTACTACCTACCTTATTGCGCAGCTTTGAGGATTAAATAAGACGGAGCACATAAAATTGTTGGTGGAGGGCCTTACACATTATAAGTGCCCAATAAATGATTACTTTTACTACTGTAATTGATCAGTCAGCCTTCACAATGCCCCAGTTTCATAACTTATTCTTAGCAGAAATAAATTTGAGCAGCTCTGAATTATTTGGTTAATTCTATTCAGTTTCATTGACACAGTGGCTATTCTGAGGCTGCTAGTGTTACACCACACTTGGGGAACAGAGTGGCGAGTGTAAGGTGATAAAGCTCATTCATTGTTTTGGGGTCCCTGGGCAATAAGAGGCCTGTGTGGTCCCTTGGGGGTTCAGGGTGAGAAGCAGTCTGAACTGTCTCTGTGGCTCACTCTTCCTAGAGGAGTTAAGAGAAGGAACAAAGGGAAGGCAGGGCTGTAGGCTTTGTTCAGATCCCTGCAACTGGTGGTTAGCGTGCTGTAATTCTGAAATTTCAAACAACAGTGAACAGGGAGACCCAGCTGTATTCCTGCACGGCCTTAAGAACCTCCTTTGCACTTGAGGAAAACGTGTGCATAGTTGGTGGGGTTTTGGGGCTGGGTCCCGTTTTTACCAACTCTGCCACCGGCCTGTGTCCTGCCTGTCACCCAGGTGGGACAACATTTCACTTATGGCCAAGGGTAGGAGGAATAGTGCCGGATGGGAAGATGACTCAGAGGGGACCCTGTAATGTGCCAGAGAGACACTTGTCTATTCTGTGGCCTGTCTACCCTGTTGAGACTAAATCTGCTCTGCTCTCTTTCCAAGTGGACACAGGAGGTGGCTTCAGACAAGAGGACCCTGCTTTCAAATCGTTATCCTTTACTGCCCCCACAGGCCACACTCTGTGAGGCACTGGAGAGAGGAGGATGCTATTTTTGAATCTTGCAAAGCATAGTAAGATAAATTTGGTCTAGAAATGTGTTTTCTTTCTTGTAGGGACTAGTTGGCTAGTTAATCCCAGGAGAAGTGAAACTGGTAATCTAAAGCAAACTGCTTTGGATAGCCAAACCTAGATACTTAAAACTATGAATACTTGAAACCCAAGAATAGAGCTTTAGTTTCCATTTCTGGCTCCACTATTAACCTCTGCTTAATCTCCTTAGATAAATCTGCAAAATATTTCCTTTCTTTGCTTTCCCGGATGAGCCTCTCTAGTGCATAGTTTTTGTTAAATAGCAAAGCAGCTTGTGACTAAACCTGGCACATTTAGCCTTATCAGCAAACCTAAGGACCAGAAGTGATTGTGTTTTTATAATGAATTCATTTTTGCTCTTAGATTGCTTTGGACTGCCCGGCTGAACTCTGCCGACTGTATACACAATTTCAAGAGCCCTACCTAAAGGATCCTGCTGCTTATCCTAAAATTCAGGTCAAGTAGTATGAAGCCTAAGATTTTTTCTAAAATTAATTCTCTCTGTAATGGTTAGAGGTGATCCTATACAGGGAGTAGGAATGCACATTTTACCTTTGAAGATGTTAACTTTTTGTACTTTTTATTCAGGCCACGCTGTTCATTTGCTGATACTGTTTTTCTGTTCAATGCAGATGCTGGCGTATATGTTCTATTCTGTCCCTTACTTTGTGATTGCACTTTATGGCCTAGTGGTTCCTGGATGTTCCTGGATGCCTGATATAACACTGATACATGCTGGAGGTCTAGCTCAGGTACTAATGTGCTATTTTGAGAGTTTACTGATCTAGTGCTCATTGATGGGTGTATAAAAACTATCGCTGCAGTGTTTTAGAGTAAGCAATCGTTGAGACATACTGTCCTTTGTTTTACAGCTCTTTAGAAGATATTTCTGCATATATATTCTATTTAAATCTCATAATAGCTATCTGAAAGATGTGCCATCTAGTTAAGAGAAGCTGTCAAGCTGTATTAAATGCTTCGCCCAAAGACACACACATACCCAGCAAGTGGCACTGCTGTTGCGTAGGGCTCTTTCCCAATCCCTGAACACCATGTTTGCTGAAAAAGGATGGCAAGCTGTTATTTTCAAGATGTCTATCTAAATTTAAGGTTTCAGGATTCTGCTATACTATTAATACAGCAGCTAGGGAAACTGGTTTGAACAGGTTCTACTCCTGCCAAGCTGGGCCTGTCAGCCATTCTTCCCCCTGGTACCCAGCCAAGCCCCTGTCTCATGAAGGACAGTGTAGTGTGTTCAGTGCAGGTGTTCAGTGAAAGCTCACTATATTGAACTAGAAATAAAATTATCTATGCAATTATTACACAAACTACATTTTTATAAGATAACAAGCAGCAAAATAAATTGATCTTCTGAACAAGGAAGGATTTTTTTTTTTTTTACTGAAAAATTTTAAAAAGCCAAGTGAACGCATCCTTTAAAAACATCTTTGTCTTGCTTTTTCAAGCAGGCCTAAGAGATTCAGAAATGTTAGGCATATACAGTTAAATATATACTCATGGTGTAGTAACCATGAGGGCAAAAAGACACTCAATTAAGTGTGGAAAAGTTAACAGAATTGTGCCTGCCTGGCAAGCACAAGGTCATGTGTTCAATTTTTAATCCATAAATAAAGTTCACAGTATTTATGGGGTCTTCTGGCCTGGGGTAGTTAATTATAAAATTAGAATATTCACTTTAGTAAAGTTGATAGAGCCTCCAGAAGAAATGATTCCTGTTCTGGAGGATGACTACAATTTATTCCCCTCTTTGCAGACCTCAAAATGCCCCATTCTTCAGACTTTGATTTTGGGCCTTTATTTCTCTATCTTTCTATACCAGTTATTAGCGGAGGACTTCCAATTTCAGCTGAAATTGCTCTCGAGACTTCTGCATTTAATTCTAGACTTCATCATTTCAGCTGGATGTCTTGTTAACAGGTCAGATTTAGAATAATACGGGACTCTTGCCCCAACAACTTTTGTGTTGCCATCATCTTTGGAAGCCGTGCAAGCCCAGAATGTGCACAACTCTTTCCCCTCCCCTCTCCATCCAGCCTGCCTCTCCAACAGCTCCAGGCTAGGTGTCTCCAGGGCAGTTCTCAAACCTACCCCCGCTACCAGCTCCACTGCCATGGCACCAGCCTCTGTTCTCGGTGCTATTTCCTGCTGGGCAAACCCTGCTCAGCCTTCCGCTTAGCTGTTTGTAAGGACAGGCCGTGCGCTCTGTTGCATGACAAGTATTCAGCAGCCGCCTTAGCCTGGTTTTACTTCTTGCTCCTGCAAAGCTCCTGGGGGACAGACAGTCTCAAGGGCCAGGGCTGGGGCACAGCTCAGGTGCAGGGAGGCTGGGAGCCTCACGAAACAGCATGGTGAGTGCACAGTATTATCTTTGCAGCAGGTTTTTTTTTTTTTTAAATAACCACTGAAAGATGAGGAAACTGAAACTCAGGACAGCTGGAGTTATTTGACCAAGGGGGCAGAGTTACTGAACGGCAGAAACCCTGTCTGGATGGAGAGCCCACAGTCTCCACTGTTACTTCCCCGTCCCTGCAAACAGCTGTGGCAGAGTCCTAGAGAAGACTTAGTCAGTGCCAAGGAGCTGGAGAAGCTCTGGGGTGAGCACGGTGCTGCTCACATCTGAGCCAGACCTTCTTAGGCTGAGCCTCCCAGGGAATGATGGGAGGAAGTTTTAGGTGGGTAGTGTCTGGCAGAGGAGGGACAGGGCCAAGGTAAGCCTTGGGTTTTGTTTTCCTGGCCTGATGCCCCTCCTGTATCCATTAGGACAGAGGGGCACGTAGTAAGTTGCCTTACTCCTGCCAGCCTTTCTTTACAGACTGTTCAGAGTCCAACAGTACTTGTTACTCTGCTTCTCAGTGGGGCCGCCTCCCCAAGGCAGGATGTGAGTGCCCTCTGCTGGAAGCCAGCAAAGGAGGCCCTATGTGGGACCTGGTCAAGTCTCTGGAGATAAGAGAACTAAGCAGGAAAACCCAGGTAAAGGCTTAGATGTGTGGCTAGGGCCAGAGGCCAGGAGGCTTAGGAAGCTCATAGCCTGGGGGTAAATGGTTGTTAGAGCCTATGGCAGTAACACAACCCCAAACTCTACCTGTTAATGAAGCTCAGCTTGCACATGGGCACTTGGGATTCCATCCGGGTGGTTCTGGGCAAGGCAGTATGGACAGCGTGCAGCGGCAGCTTCAGCCAGCCTTTAGGCCTTGCTGGAGTCCTTGGGCTTAGCTACCACTGGCTGGTTTGACAAAGTGGCCTGAAGCCCCTCTCATGCTGGTGAGTGCCCGGGCAGAGGCTGAGGCTGAACCCAGGTCCTGTAAATGTCAGAAAGATGTTTCTCTCAACCAAGCAGGTAAAGAGTGGCATAGTTTAAGAATTATCTGCTGGTAGCCCCATAGCTCTTGGCTGGACTTTAACATCTGCTTATTCATAGTGTTCAGCTTAAAGAAATAGAAAACATGTACAAGCTGGTCCTTGTGGCACATCTGTAATCCTAATCCCCAGACTGGGCAATTTAGGAAATCCCTGTCTCAAAATTTATAAATAAATAAATAAATAAATAGAGCTGGTGATGTAGCTCTGGGTTAAGCCCCTGGGTTCAGTGTCCAGCACTGCCCCCCCCCCCACCAAATGCTGCAGTGTAACTTTATATGGTCAGAATGTTGTTCTGTGATGTTTTGTATTTAGCATTTACTTAGGAAATGCCCTCATGTTAGAGGGTATCTGACACATTGATGAGGAAGGCACTCTCTGAAACCTTAACCCACACCCCATGCTTGCTAAAACTACTACATCTAATTTAGACATCCTATCCACTCATGACCCTACTGACATAATCAGACCCTACTTTTACTGAAAGATCTAGTGAACTCCCAAGGTTCTGTGCAGTTTGATAAGAAAAAGATCCTTGAAATGTTCTAGATCAAGATAGGTCACAGATTAGGAAGACACACTGGGTACTTAGAGTCCCTGATTTAAGGCTGTCTAGAAGCCTGACAAATCTGCTACCTTCAAATTAAAAGATCACTGAAAAACTGAAATAAAATAAAGCCAGGACTCTTTTTCGACCAGAGTTTTACTGGGACATATTCATAACCAACTGTCTCTTCATACGGAGTGCTTACTGTAGGACTCAAGGTATAAGCCTAGCTGGAGAAGTGTTGCAGACTTTTTCAATCCACTCACCAGCATTTTCTACCAACTGAAGTAGTCTGGGCCTCCCTATGTGCAGGCTCAACCAATGGCAGATGAAACACGTTGTTAGGCCTGTGATGGCCCACTGTACTGAACATGTAGATTTTTTTGTCATTGTCCCTTAATACCACTATTTCTATAACATTTGCATTGCATTAGGCATTGTGAGTAATCTAGAGATTATTTAATATTTGTGAGAGGATATGTGCAAATACCATGCTACTTAATAAAAAGGACTTAAATAGCCATGAATTTTGGCATCTGTAGGAGGTTGTGGAACCTGCTGATATGAACTGTATTGTGTTAAAATGTCACGGAAAATGAAAAGTAGGCTTAGTATTGTTACTGTGGTCAAGAGCAGGCACTCTGGAGGCAGACTGATTCAAATCCCAGCCTGCCACTGATTAGTTCAATGACCCTGGTTACTCTCAGATCTTCAGTTTTCTCTTCTCTAAAGTGAGAATGTTAGTAGCACTGTTCTCATAGTGTTGCTGTGAGGATTTACATGAGGTGGTGTATGTAAAGGGCGAAGACTAGTGCCTGGCACATAGTAGTCAGGTAACTCTTGGTTGCCATTACTGTTATAAGATTCCTAGCAAGTGTTTGAAGGAGAGATGCCTTGTTACTGAGAGTGATTAATCAGTGTGTAGCCAATTTACTTAAGCAATGTGCATTATATATAATGACCTAAACATCACAGAAAGTGGGTGCGAGCCATGGGGCACATGCACAGTGAGCTCCCAGCTACACCTGACCATCAAAGCAGGATCAGTTCCACTTCAGTCGGGGGCATGCCGTCCCACCCACTGCCCTCAGCCTCTGCCTGGCTGTGCAAGTACACGAACTTCCTCACAGAGGGTTGCTTGTTGGCTTTGGACAGTCTGGCTGTACAGAGGTGACTCTAATGGAAGCAGATTTCATGTGTTTTTCCTTCATGGAAACCTTTAAGGAATACCTGAAAGTAAAGGTTTAAGAGCATGGATAACTGAAATAGTAATGCAAATCCATTTTACTCAATTAGTTCTGGTGTGATTCATCACCAAGTACCTTTATTTAGTATTAAAATCAGACTTTAACATTTTTATGTGGTTATCATCCTTTGATGGCAACACCAACAGTTAAAAGATCAACAAGGAGATCTAAAAACAAAGAGCCCAGGTTTTCAACCAGAGTGCCGGGCATGAACAGGCGTTTCCGCTGTTTTGTTTCTGTGCACAACTAGCCCCATGTGCTTGGCATTGTCATAAGCCCACTGTAACAAATTCAACTCACTGAGCCCTCATAACAACCTATGAGGTAGGTTTCATTACTGTCTGTTTTTTACAGATGAGGAGGCCAGAGGGTCACATGCCTCACGCAAGGCCATCTTGCTGGTTTGTGCTGGGGCTGAAATCTGATTCTGGCCATCTGTTCCAGAGCCAGTGTTCTGAACCGCTCACTACACTATGCTGCTCAGAAAACCCTAAGAAAAGATAGCATGGTTCTGGATTAGCTATTATACTGTATTGGCCAAATAGCCTGGTGACTGCCCCAATGTTCACATTACTTTTTGCTTTTAAGATTTATGTGATCACAGAAAACTCAATTCTTCCTTTTAGAGCCAAAATTGTGGTTTTCAGTCATCCTTTCCAGGTTCTCTATGAAATCAGAGATACAGAGCTATTAAAATGTAATCTCTGTTCACCTTCATTACCCTATTTTCTATCCCAGTCCCACTCATATATTCTTAAACAAACAAAAAAAGAGTTCATCTCTTGTTTCTGTATGGTTAGAATTTTTTTTTGAATGAAATAGAAGAATGATTAGGGAGTCAATTTTGCATCACTGAATTTGGAGAAATTACTGGGGTTCAGAACTTCTGCAGCACTGAGTTCACTCCACCACCTAACCCTCACCCAGGCCCAGCACTTCAGGCCACTGTCAGGAGGCCCGGTGTGCCAGTGACATCACTAGCCAGGGGACTTTGCACTTGTTAGCTTTGTTTTTAGGAAGGGAACCATCCTCAAGTAAGACAAGTTTTCCTGGAACTTCAGAACCCTGGACATCTCACTGCGTAGGCCTTGGGAGGAGCATTTGTGTAGGAGGTGTGGCTGCTGTAGACACACCCACTGGAACTGTGCGCTGCAGCAGGGGTGCAGACAACGGGGCTCAGGGTTCTTCTCTCATATACACACTTCTGGTTAGGAATGTTAAACTCTTCACCCTTCCTTTAATAATTGTGAACAGAATGGCCTAATAAAATAGTTACAAAAATATAGAAATTCTTTATAGATCCTCTTTTGCATTTGGACAGTCACGAGACCATTGTTGTTGAACGTTTATTGAGCTGTAACAGTGTGATAGGTGCCACACAAAACATCGCAGACACAGTACCTGCCCAGTGGGCTTACAATCTAATCTAAGGACATGGATCCATTTTTAATGTTGCCATGGGTTTGCTGTTTGTGAAAATGAGGTATTAGCTGCACGATCAGTGCAGGTCAAGGGCCTATGGAATCACTGACATTTTGAGGTTTCCTTATGCAGGTAGTAGGCACAACTGCTCGTTATTTATTCTCTCAAAGGAAGGTGGACAGTTTTCACAATCTTTTGATTTTGTGATGTGTACAAGTGTCTATAAAGCCACCAAACCCACATTTCTGAAAACCAGGGTTCAAAACTGGCCTGTAGTCCAGAAGAAAAGTTTAATTATAGATTCAGAAAAAATCATTCAAAATAGGCCCTAGGGAAAAATAGTGACAGGAGCCAAGCTCCTATTCAGAGTTCCTAGAATGTCCACAACAGCTCCTTAGGGCAGCCCCCAAAATGCCCTTTATTTTGAAGGTCTTTTGTGGTCGCATCCCAGAGATGCAAACCCACTGGCTGGGTTGTCTGGCATCTGCCCTGGGGAGGAGTGTATGAGGGCAGAGCCCTCAGTGCCCACGACTCCCAATGCAGACAGTCCACTTGTTGGTCCTTGGAAACACACCACAGTAATCTAAAATCTCCAGAAAATAGCAAAAACGTACCAGAGGTATCCAGAATATACCAGTAATTTGTAAAATTGTAGCCCATTAAAATATCCGCTATTGATACAAATTTCATAAACATGCTTATAAAAGCTTGCCCTTTTCTTGTCATGGCAAAGTTAAGTGGTAACACTATCTGTTAATCACTTGGCAGAATCAATTGATTTCACATGGAAGGAAATATAAAGTAACTTAAGTATAAAGTAAATTACTTATTCATCCTTGTTACTTCTGTGTCTTCTCTAGTTGGCAGGCTTTCATCTTTTCACTTTGACCCGGCTGAACTAATAATTTACTACATTCAGATTCCCAATTCTTTATTTATGTGTATCTTGAATTTCAGCAAGGCATGAAATGCACACGTAGGGGATGCATTTTGTAATGACACAAGCTTCCTGTGAACTCCTCTCAGCTTTTAATCCTGCTGCGGCCGGCATTAGCCTTTCTAATAAGTTGTCCTCTGTGCTTATGAAAAGTATCAAAAAAGACCAACTGGTACATTTTGATGTGTGTTTTGAACAAGTATACAAGTATAGGGAGGCCCTTTCCTTTCCATTTTGCAAACTTGTATTATGCTGACAAGTCATACTTCTAAATAAATTACAATTTGACTTAAAAAGGCTGCCTGCCCATGTATTTGCCATTTTGTAAAGAGCAATCATACTCCTAACCTCTACCCTGCTAACCTTATAAAACAATCCTTAGAATTTTTTAAGTTGCATAAAAAACAAATGCATGAATAAATAAATAAAAGTATGTAATGAAAGGGCTTTGCTCAGTTACTTGCTTCAAGGAGTAACTGAAAGACTGATAAATGAAGCTGAGTTCCTCAGTGCTTCTCCTTAAATAATTTATTATTTTAAATATACTTTAGTTTTAAAAACTCTGTAATTTTTATTGGAAAATAACTTGTGAGCTACAGCTGAGTTTCTCTGTAGGACCTATAGAATCCAAATCAGGAAAAAAATTTCTTTTTCTGTTGAACTGAGCCACTCATGTTTGATATGGGGCACTGGGTGGGTTAGACAACAGAACTGACATGATAAAACTACACTAAACAAAGTATACTTTATTTGACCAGATATCAAGACTGGCCTTAGATGTAATGAAAGACTGTCATATTAAAGACTAGGGTTATCTGAAGGTGTTATGCTGGAGAGGCTGCTTGTAAGGGCATAGACAGGGTCTGAAATAGCCATCCAGAACTCGCCCTTCATCCCACTGGAAGTAAATTTCATGCTTATACTCTCCTCCCTCTTTTCTTCCCCAATAAAACAGGCCCAGTTTTCTCACATTGGTGCTTCTCTCCATGCTAGAACTGCTTATGTCTACAGAGTCCCTGAAGAAGCGAAAATCCTTTTTTTAGCATTAAATGTAGCATATGGAGTTCTTCCTCAGCTCCTGGCCTATCGCTGTATCTACAAACCGGAGTTCTTCATAAAAACAAAGTCAGATGAAAAAGTGGAATAAAAATGTTGTATCATGTTTTTCCTCTCTAGATTACTGACTTTTGTTACACTGGCATTGATTATTTTCTCCAATTTCACTCCCTTCTCAAACACAAATACTTAAGAAAACACAAATTCTTGCTCTGCACTGTATATGTGAGCTGTAACACTGTATTATATGGTTAAATTTTCTTTTGTTTTTGGAAGGAAAACTGAAGTTTTTGAGAAACAGCTTGTTTAAACAGATACATCAAAATTGTGAATAAACCTGATCATGTATCTCAAGATTCTGTTTGTACATATGAAATAATTATAAGTGTGAAAAATTACAATTTAGTGCCTATAATAGCATGAAACCAAAACTACTCAGAAGCGAATGTGTTCTATACATATAAAAAATTCAAAACAGCAATCACAGGTTGGAGAAATAACTTTTGCATAAAAGACTGTGTATGCCACATTATCAACCTCAGTTTAAAGGGGAGATCATCAGAGTATTTTTAACTGTTTGAAAAATGTTTTCCAAGGAAAGTTTATTATTTATTGTCTTAAAAACTGCTTTCACAACAAGTTCTTTTGTGTGTCAATCTAAATAGCTGAAGCAAGATCAATTAGCTTTATCATTACCCATAATGGACACTTGTTTTGCTGGTGGCTGGGAATATTTGTATTGTATTTCTGCATATATTTTTAATAAAATTGTTTATGGCCTTTTATGAAAACAAATTATACCACATTTGAAATGGTTTATATATATTTTCAAAAGTTTTAGCTTTTTAGTTAAGAAAATCTGTTACACTTTCTAAATCAAAACAAAGTCTCTATTTTCATATTTTAGTGTGAGCAATGAAGAGGCCTTCAATGAAGAGGCCTTTTGATGAATTAAATATTTCATCACTTTAAAATAAAGTGTTCAAAATTTTAAAATACCTTTTAAGGAAAAAGTACTCGATTGGCATCCTTACTACTTCCTTTATGAACTTTTCATATTTGAAACTGTGTGTGAATATAGTATCAGTATAATATCAGTATTTGCTAAATGACAGGAACAAACCAAAAGCACAGCCCCTCCTCACTACCCTTCACGGTGTACGGATTAGAGCTTGTGCAGCCTCAGCTGCCATCACCACCATCAGCATCGTCTGCGATTTCCTCCTCATGATCATTAGCTCTTCACCAAAATAAGGAAACCAAAAGGAAATGGGGTACAAATCAATGCATAAGCAACGTAAGTGTGAATTTAGGGTCCAATGATCTGGTAAATATTTTCCTAGATGTGCAGGCAAATCATGCTGTCATTCCCTCCCAAATAACCTAAAACCCAAAGTATTAACAGGGGTTGGGGGAGACGAAAATAAAAGCCCTTACCTGAACTTGATTCTGTTGTCAACTTGCTATTAACAGTTTTTGCTTTAATATATGAATTACATTAATACCTCACAATTACATATATAGCCAAATTACACTAACTTTGTTTACAACCTCAGAGCTTACTCCCAGTACACATTCCAATAAATTTATTCTGTAAAAACAATACATTTTTTTGTTTTTGATTTTTTTTTTTTACAGTAAACTTTTCAACTACAAACCCTGAAGATGGGAAAGATGTTCCAAGGACAAGCATAACAGGATTGATAAAACCCAAACAGACTAAATGTGTTCTCACAATATAAGCTGGCATAAAAATAAATAAAATTCTCTATTATCACAACAGCAACAATAATGTACACATAATAATGGTTTGTGGATGAATATTTACTATTCTAATTCTAGTTCCAAAAAGAAAACAGTTTATTTTAAAAGTCTGTATTTAAAAGTCAATGCTTTGTCTGGTTCCCATAGGGCTGCTGCTGATTTCAGCTTCAAAGTGTAAAGTATCCATCTTGAGTGATCAGCTCAAATTGTACTGGCACTGGGAAAAAATAAATCCTTGCCTTTATTTTGGAGTAACACAAAAAGACTCACTAACTTCACATATAGAAACTCAGATTGTGTACATAACAACATGAGTTTTGAGAAGTATAAGCTGTCAACTAGCTATTTCTAATACAGAATAGATATTGTACAATATGGTTGAACTTTACACATGGCCTCAAAACTGAAGGATGATTTAAATTTCATCTTCAATATACCAACATTATGTATCTAGGAATTAGTTCTTGGGTTCTGTCAAAGAGGAACTCCCATCCTTAAGCATTATGTGGTCATCTAAAAATGCTGATTAATATTAAACACTTAAAATATTAAGTGTTTGGTGATGGTGGGGTAAAGGCAGAAAAATGATGAACAGAACTGCCTTGATAAAAGGATCCTGGACGTTTGAGTCTGTGCAAAAATTTTGGTAATTCTTAGTGGTTAAGGGCAACATCATGCAACCTAATAACATGAAATTAAATCAACAACCTTAAAAAAGGTTAAAATGTCTTTTTTTTTCCCAACAAAACAGAGAGGAATATGAGTAATGTACATACAAACTGGGGTTCTGTCAATGACAACAAAGACTATGTGTTGGTTCATATCAAATCCAAGAATATTGGACAACCAAACATTTAAACTTCTTGTGGTTTCTTGTAATATGCAGCATTCATTATGGTAGTTAGGTCTGTAAGAAAAGAAAGAAAACATGTCTTTAGATGATTTAGGATACTAATAATGAAGGCCATCCACATCAATAGAGTATGTATCAAGTTTTTCTGAAATTTTTAATCTGCTCTGTGGTGGTAACAATACTTAGCAAGAACAGCTTCTAAGCTTTACTTAATGTCTATCAAAAGGTTAAAGGAAGGGCTGGGGATTTAGCTCAGCGGCATAGCATCTGCCCGGCAAGCACAAGGTCATGAGTTTGATTCCTGGTACCAAGAAAAAAAAAAAAAAGGTTAAAGGAAACACAGTACTGCAAAAAGAAAAAAAAAAGATGAAATATTATTTTTAGTGTTACATTAAAAATAAAGGCAAAAAGAGTATACTCTGGCTCCTGTTAGGCAGAGTGGCGTGTGATGGTGCAAACATTTGTTCTGGACCAGTTGAGCATGTCTCCCGCTGGGGTGGATACAGTCAGTGGAGACATGGATGTAATCTGTCTCTGTTGGGACACTGGTGTCAGAAAGGTGAGCCATGTAAAATTTCAATCAGTTGGAGTGTAAATATTTACAACTCAGTTATTTGTGACACATGGCTAGAAGAAGTACAAGAGTTATGAAAACGAAGACATACAGTCTCTGATTTTGTGCATTTGCAAAAAATTCAAAGGATGAAAGAAAAGCTTAAATTTCTTTTAAAACTTAAAGATGAAATAGTCCCATTTCATAAACGAATTATGTTTCAATTTGAGTCCCACTTTAAATTGTGCCAGGATATGTTTCTCCAAAGAGATGCTATTTTTGTTCTCATCATCATTAACCCAAATGTATGACTTTCCTCCCTCAGTGATATTCTCATGGGATGGATAAAACAGGAACTCAGGCCCCAAATATTTTTTCTAAAAACAGCCTGTTTCATTATTTCATTGAGTGAATGAACTTGTTTGGAAGCACACATGTGCATTCTCCAAGGGCAGTGGTGGTGAACCTATGGGACATGTGTTGTTTTTCTTTTCAGACAGATGTTAATGTATGAGTTGTTCTTTCCTAAACTACAACCTCAGTATTTAGGTTTAATTGCAGCGGGTTTTGGGTTGCAGTTTGGGCATTTGGGTCTCTAAAAGGTTCGCCAACATTGTCCTAAGATGTTCCTATTTAGCCAAAATCTATAATTACAGGGCCCTCAAGGGAGAAAAGTTACTATCCCATCCAGATGGGAGAAACTGTCCTCCGTCTCTACCAGAATGAGCATACCAATCTTAAAAAAACTACAAAAAAACCCACAACAAAACAAAACAAAAAACAAATGCAGAATTAAAATCTGCAAACAGTGCAGGGCCTTATGACAGTTTATTAATAAATAGTAACACTAGATATAAAAAGATATAGTCACAGATACTTTGGAGGGTTTCTCTCCCTTGTGAAGAAGGAAGACACTCAGAACAATGAAAAATTATCAACCAAAGAAATCTTTAATAATGGCTTTATTCATATTAAGGTGAAAGGCAATACCGTGTTTTCACTGGTAGAAAATTCATGGTTGACAATGTCTCAGTACATATTCAAGAACAGTTTTGGCACAGATCCCATAGAAGCTTTAGAGTATCAGCTGTGCCCCAAACAAAGTGAGGCGGCACCAGAATGTGATCACAACTTCATGGATGCAGTTTTTGTTTATAACAAGGTGTTATCAAACAGATGCTTGTAGGTCGGGGATATAGCTCAGTGGCATAGCGCCTGCCTGGCAAGTGCAAGGTCCTGAGTTCAATTCCTGTTACCAAAAAACCCCAAAACAAACAACCCTCCAAGCGCCGCCCCCCAAGTGTTTGAAAAAGCAAATTATAAAATAGATTTTTAAATGTTTCATATTGAAAAGCATACCCTGCTGATTTATAATGGTCCACATCTTGTGGACATGGTGCTGAGTGGTGGAACTGAGGTTTCCTCAGAAGCAGGCAGAGGCAGCTGTTGCCCTGGCTGTACCCCATGCTCCGCACACTCACTCTAACCAGAAACCCTATTCCCTTTTGTGGTCTTACCGGGAGGCCTGCAGGGGGCACCAGAGCTGAAAGAGACCCACAACATGGTGGGGCCGAAGCTCTCAGCCAGTAGAAGTCAGCTTTACATGGAGCACCGTTTTTATGTGACAAAATTATGATATCCATTATGGCTATTAAGACATAGCTATTTGGCACTTTGTAAAAAAATTTGGCACTTTGTAAAAAAAAATTTTATTACTTCAAGTAAAACAAATGACAGCATTTGTTGCCAATGATAAAATTTGATTGTTTAAGTGAAGACTAGGATTTTAAATCTTCTATGACCAACATTGAAAGGCTTTTCTGAAAAGAAGGCAGTGATTTCAAAAAATGTGATTAAAAATCTAAAGAAATGGACCAATGTTTGGAAGACCTGAGTAAGTCAGTGAACCAGTATCTTCCAAATAAGTAAAAGTTATTCAAAGTGCCAGATAGTTCAACAGATTTAATGTAACAATATGAAAAGTTCAGATTCCACGTGCAGCAAGATATATCAGTAAAACACGAATACATGAAAATTATCTGACGAGATTATTGAAGTACATATACTTTCATTTTGAAACTAGGTATATGTATGCAGCCAGATTTTCTTCATATATTTCAACCAAAATTATGTATCACAATAGAATGTAGCACACAGGAAAATCAAACTGTATTTTATTAAACCAGACATTAAAAACTTGAAAAAAATGTGGAGCAATGTCATTCTTCACAAAACGTTTTTTGGGAAAATATGGTGTATTTTTCACAAAAATGTGTGATATATTAATAGGTTTACATTTTAAAATGAATTCACAAAAACCATTTTTCTTGAAGACAAAGTCTTGCTATGTAGTTCAGGCTTGTCTTGAACTCACTATGTAGCCCAGACTGGCCTCAAACTCAGTGTTTCCCCCCTCAGCCTCCCGAGTGCTGCCATTGTAGGTATGCTCCACACACATGGCTTAATTAAAAAATGTTTTTAAAATTTGTTTTTATTCCAATTAAATAAGTATCAATAGCTGTAACATATATAAATAAAAGCTCCTGGGGGCCTTCAAAACTTTAGGAATATTAATGAGATCCTGAGACCAAGAACAAGTGAGAGATAAGACGAAAGTGAAGTGAGATAAGGTCATGAAGGGAATAGGGAAGGCTTGATCTTGCTGGCATAAGGAGCAGCACTGAATGGCAGCAATGGGAGGTTCACGGCTAGAATGAAGGTATGGACGCTGGTGAACGGGTACTGTAAACACTGTGCCTGTCCTCCCAGCACTCTTCTATCCTCTGCCCCTCCTCTCAGTTGTATGGCAGCTTTGAGACTTGGGGACTTGGATCCAGTGCCAGGGATGGGAAGAGCCTGACTGGTCTAAGACAGCTCTAATCTTTTTCTACGTGGTTGGTTCAGAGGTGGGCAACCTGACAGATCTTTTATGATCTCTGCTGCTTGATAATCATACCTTTGTGTAATCTTCTCCCATTGGCTGTGGGCTAGACCTGGTGGCTTGCTTCTAATGAATGAAGCAAAAGTGATGGGACGACATCTAGATCTGTCTTGCTAACACTCTCTTGCTACTTTTGCTCTGATGCATGAAAAAAATCCATGTGGCAAGGGACCAAGGGAGTCTTCTGCCAACAGTTTGTGAGGAGCTGAGGGCTGAACCACTGTGAAGAGCTGAATCCTGCCAACCACTTGAGTGTGCTTAGAACAGGTACATTAAGCCTTAGGATGATTGAGCCACTGCTAACATTCTGACTGAAGCTTTGAGTGAGACTAGAGACAGAGTACTCAGAAAAAGTTACACTTGCCTGGATTCCTGACCCAGAGATAATGCTTCTCTAAGCCACTAGGGTTTTGGGTTTTAATTTATTAGTTAGCAATAGATAACTAATACAGCAGGCCAATGGCAACCAATGCATGGTATTTTTCTGGCTACACAGACGAGTAACTTCTACTGAAGTGTTCTGCATAAGGGGCCCTGCCCCTGCCTGCCTCAAACAGGAGTGAGGCAGAGAGTGTCTTCTAAGAACTCTGCTTACCTTCCACTACCAGTAATCATGACCTCAACTCCCCATCTGTCTTGAGACCACTGGGCTTCCCATCCTCAGGGCCTGTGTCTTGGTCACTCCAATTCCCACAAGTCACCTCCCAGGCTTTCATCCCTAGTCGTCAGATGTGTTTGTAGCCTTTTATATCTTCATCTTGCACCCCTCTCTTGTTCCACAAATTCTTCATCTCTTCCACTGGGCCCCCTAGAAATCAGTCAGCCATCAGCAAATCTTTACATTCCCAACCTGAATTTCCAGGATATTTCACTCACCAACTTCCTCTAACTGAAACTTGTTTTCCCTGAGGACTGGCACCACTTCTTTCCCTGCAATCTTCTCAAGAGGCAACTCCTTCCTCTCCCATAGCTCTAGTACTTACTTCTGGCCTGCAGATGGTGAAGGCATTCTTCTTGCTCTTCACTACTACAGTATTTGTAAGCTATCTGTCCTCTCCCCTGTGCCTCCCATGGAAGAATCCTCTAAGCTTTGGATCCCAACACGTAAGCCACTATTCCTCCTTATTGCAATCATCGACAGACCCCTGCACTCTGTATCTTACTCCTGTGAGAGTCAGCTATGGCCCACTGTCATTCAAAATCATAGTCCCTGTATGATAAGCCAACAAATAATAGCATACTGAATGGGGACTGACTGAAAATAATTTCCTCTAAAATCTGGAATGAAGTAAGAGATTCACACTTACTACTCCTGTTCAGTATAGTACCAGGACAATTAGGCAGGAGAAAGTAAAAGGGAGACAAATATGAAAGGGAGAAATCTCATTATTCCTATCTGCAGATGATATGATCCTACACATAAAAGACTAGCAACTCCATAGGAAGACTCTTAGATCTCATCAACAAATTCAACAAAGTGGCAGGATACCAAACCAATACACAAAAGTTAATAGCATTCCTGTACACCCATAATGAACATGCCAAGAAGGAAAATAATTC